GGAGAGCAGGGCAGAGGGGGAGAGAGTAGAGCCTGGGGGCTGGAGGGAGAGCAGGTCCTGTGGGGAGGGAGGAGAGCAGGGCCTGAGGGGTGGGGCAGGCCCAGAGATCCAGGTGGACGAGAGCCAGCTGGCTGGGGGTCATCCCAGCACCTTCCACCTGGAAGAGTCTTGCTGCTCAAGAGCAAGGGCCTAGGGTCAGCGTGGACCCGGGGAGACACCGCCAGGGCACCAGGCCATGGTGACGGGACCACAGGAGCCTGGGGACCTGGAAGCAGGCACCTTGGCACTGTCCCCAGCAAGTCTGCTCCTAACGATGCCATTTCCTCTCGCTCCCCACAGGCCTCAGCCTTAAGCCCAAAGCCAAGTGAGCGTGCCCGCGGCCGGCCCCCGCACAGCAGCGGGCCCCTGGACATGCTGCTGAGTGGGGCTCCTCCAGGGCCAGGCTGGAACTGGGCCCCTGAGAAACCAAAACTCTGTGCCTTACCCTCCAGGGAGGTGGGCCTCCCGGAGCTGCTTGGGGGCACTGTGGCCGAGACCCCAGCAGGCACCAGGGCCCGGCCCCCCGGCCCCCTCCTGGCCAGCCTGCACGCCCCCAGCCCTCTGTGGTCTGCTTTCTGAATGCCAATGCCCACGCCTGCACCTGCATGCTCCACAGCACCCCCACGGGCACGTGGGCGGTGCCTGTGTCCCCAGGGCGCCTCTCAGCTTGCGCCCTGCCCTCCAGCCACCTGGCACCCAGATGCTTCTAGAGACAGGCCCTCGCAGACCTCTCCCCACAAAGCCACGGGAGCCGGGCAGAGCTGGAGCCCCCACACCCCTGCCCGCTGCCTCCTTACCCAGCCCCGGGCCCCTGCTCCCAGCTCTGCCTCTCAACTGGTTTGGCTGGGCTGGAACTGAGTGGATTTTAACTGAAATAGGATTGTTTCTGCATCTCTGCTCTTCTGGGGTAGCTAAGTTGGGCATAGGTGGCGGGGGGAGGACCCTAGGGCCTGGGGTAGGGGCAGGCTGGCCAGCATCACCACGAACAGGCCATGGTCCCCCCACCCAGCAAACGGAGGGCGCCTCCCCTGGGGCTGGCCCCCCTCCCGGTACACCCAGCCCTGGCTGCCACGGCCGGGGCCTGGCCACCTTGTCGCCAGAATGACTCTCCCTACCGCTGCCTCCTCCAGAGGGACCGGGCTCTCCCCGCGCTGGGCTGAGAGGAGGCCGAGGACCCAGGCCTGGCGGCTGCCAGCTCCCCCTACCCCACCCCTGCCCCAGGTGTGTGCTCCCGAGGCTGGCGTCTGAGAGGCTCAGACCAATAAAGAAGAAAAGAGCTGGCCCCGGGAGCGGCGGTGTGGCGTTTAGGAGCAGCGGGCAAACGTGCGGTGACCTCTCCCAGCGGCTGTGCGGACGCGGGCCTGCCTGCTCCCAAAACACCCCCAGGACCGGAGCAGAGCAGGTGCCAGACAGACCCCAGAGTGGGGGCGAGGGGAGCCCAGAACGTCCATGCAGAAATCTCACCCGCTGAGTCTTCAGCGGATTTACAAGGCCTTCAAGCACCGTGATCCAGTTCTAGAATATTCCATCATCCCCCCGAAGTTCCCTTAGCAGCCACTCCCCATGCTGCCTCCCCCAGCCCCCAAATCTGCTTTCTCTCTCCATAGATTTGCTTTCTGTGGACGTTTCCTATAAATGGAGTCCCGCTACGTGGCCTTTCGTGGCCGGCTTCTCCTACGTAGCGTGTTCTCGAGATTGACCATGTTGTAGCGTGTGTCGGGACTCCACTCCTTTTTGTGGCAGAGTGGGATTCGCCGTCTGGGTGGGCCTCGCCCTGCCTCACGGCGTGGACGCCGCCGGGGGGTTTCCGTGGGAAGCTGCTGCGAATATCCGCAGGCCGGTCTGCGTGTGGACGTGGGTTTTGGTTTCTCACAGGCCGGCTCGGTAACTGTGTAGGAAACTGCGAGGTGTCTTCCAAAGTGGTGGCCCCGTGTTGCACTCAAGGATGTGAGCCCCTGTGCAGACGTCTGAGGGCTCTGCGTCCGGACCCACCGCGTGTGAGGTGGTCCGCGGGGCGCTGTGGCCCAGGGTGGAAGCCCCAGCTGGCTGAGCCCACCCGCTCCCACCGTGAGCCCCCCTACCCCGGTGACAGGCCCACGGTGCACAGGCCGCCGCAGGGGGGACGTGTTCTAATTCAGGAGAGGCCGTGTGACAGGCCGGACCCAGCTGCCGGGCCGGGACAGGGCTGTTTATAGAAAAGCCTGACTCCCCCCCAGGCCCGCCAGCTATTTATAGACCTGGGCTTGGGGGAGTTGGTGCCCCTGCCGGCCAGCGTCCGGCCCTGCAGATCCCGTGTGAACCCCCATGGTGGCCCCCTTAGCCCCAGTCTCCCCCAGGAAGGGCCCCCAGCCAGCACCCCCCTTCCGCAGAGGGAAGCACCCCGTCTGACGGGACTCCGGCACATGTCCCTCCCCTCCGCGGCTCCAGTGGGCATTCCAGCCGCTCAGCAAACCCTTCCCGCCTGCTTGCTCCCTTCTGCCACCAGCCCGCCTTTTCCTTGTTACACAGCCAGCCTCTGCTCCAGCTCCACTCCCACCGCCTCACTCCCAGAAACACCCAGGCCACAGCCGGCCACCCAGGGCCTGCTCGCCCTGGCCTGCCTTCGAAACATTCAGAGCCCAGAGTCTCAGGCCCTCCTGCCCCTTTCAGCCACTTCCCACGGGCTGGCAGTGGGGGGTGGGGGGAGCGGGGGTTGCTGCTGTCCCCCAGGAAGGCCAAGGACACAAAGCCTGCCCCTCACACCCCACTTACCCCTGCATGGTGCTTGCCCCACGGCGATGCCGGGAGAAAGGAACTGGTGGGGTCCCCATGTGAGAGAGGAGGGTCCGGGACCCAGAGGGGTCAGAGCCAGGGTCCCAGCAGGAGCCCAAGGAATGTAGGAAGGGAACAGGAGGAGAGGACCAAGGAGGGCGGGCTGGCAGAGCCGTCCTCTGCTGGGACTCTCCATGAGTGACCTTTGTGTGACTACTCTCCTCCTCCATGGGAACTTCTGGTCTCCCTGTGGGAGCCCAAGGAGCCCAGCGGCTCTCTGAGCCCTGGCCACAGGCTAATTGCTGGGCTCCAGGTCCCTCTGTACTGAGACACTCCTCCCACCAGAGAGGGGACAGGGGCTCCTGGCCCTGGAGGGAGGGGCCCATAGCGCACGCCTGCCCCCAGGGGTCCATCCCTCGCCCCTTCTCCCAGTGGGGCTAGCCATGTCCACACCCGAGTCCACGTGGGACGTCGGGGGACCCGGGTGGGCCAGACGGGAGCCCCGCAGACTGTTGCAAATCCTCTCTGGAAGCCCTGTCCCTCCAGAGGCAGGCCAGGAAAGGAATCTGCTGTGGGGCCTCTTGGGGACCCTGGTTGTGCGGGGCTGGTGAGCATCCCCGGCTGCTTCTCTGCTGGCCAGGTGGCCGGCCATCAGGCGTCCTGTCCCCCTGGATTCTAGGGTCCTGCAGACCAAAGGCTGTGCCGCCTGGTGGAACCTGCGAGCCGCTCCAGGCAGGCACGTTGGTCCCGCCACTCCCTGTCCTGTGCTGGACACTGAGCCCCTGAGAGTATGGGTGGGGGCGCTGGGGGAGGGGGCACACTGTCCTCTCTCTCCTTGGCTAGCAGAGCACGCGCGTGGGCCCTGGACCGAGGTTCGCCTCAGGGCCCGTGCCCGCCCCAAAGCCCCAAGGATGCAGACCCTCCAGGTGGAGTGTGAAGACATGGCCCCCTCTCCCACCCTGAAGAGGGCCCCCCAAGTTTCTAAAACCCTGGGGTGCTGGGCCTGGAGTGGGGCAGCACAGGGGTCCCCATTAGGGTTCCCGAGGGAGAAACCTGGCTGGCGCGGCTCACCGGCTGTCCCTGTGCCCCCACCCCCAGAGGTAGGTGCCCGGGGCCCAGCTCGGCTTCCCGGTGGGGGCTGGGCTGGCGGGGGCGGGACCCGGCAGCGGAGGTCACCCAGAGGGCCACTGCGCCCGCCGGGCCCGCCCCCAGCCCGCCCCCCTGCCTTGGGCCGGCTTCTTTTAGTGGCGGCGGCGACAGGGCTGTCCCGTGGCCCAGCACAGCAGAGGAGTGACCAGACCAACATGTCGGGGACTCGCGCCTCCAACGACCGGCCCCCCGGCCCGGGCGGCGTCAAGCGGGGACGGCTGCAGCAGGAGGCGGCGGCCACGGGCTCCCGGGTGACCGTGGTGCTGGGCGCGCAGTGGGGGGACGAGGGCAAAGGCAAGGTGGTGGACCTGCTGGCCACGGACGCCGACATCATCAGCCGCTGCCAGGTGCGGGGCCCCCCACCCACCCAGCAAGCCCCCTCCTCCCCTTGCACCCAGGGGCCCTGACCTCCCTGTTCTCCCGCGCCCTGAGCTGGACACGCCTCTTGGATAGCTCCCCTTCCTGGACTCCCTCCCCCCACCCCACGGCCACCGACCCCTCTGCAAGCACACTCTCCCCTCCCCCGCTCCCTCCCCGGGGACCACCTTCCCCACCCAGCCCCACCCCTCCAGGCAGCGGGCCAGGGAGGAGCTATAAATACCTTAGCTGAGTTGGGGACACCCGATCTTCAGGGCGGGGGTGGGGGGTGCGCCACGGGTGTGACACTGGGCCCTCCGGTGTGGGGGTGGGGTGGCTGGGGCCCCCAGCTCCTGGCTGTCGGGGTCTGGCACAGGGCTGGCCACGGGGTGGCCCTGGGGGGCCAGCCAAGAGGACGCAGAGGCTAGGGCAGGACAGTGGGCCAGGACCTGAAGGAAGACAGGCCAGGGACAAGGAGGGTCCCCGGCCGGACTGGGGTGGGGGGAGAGGGAGGGGCCACGGATGGCTGGCCAGGGTGACCCAGCGGCTGGCGGTGCCACCGGGGAGGCCAGACACAGGCTGTGTCCCCAAGGGCCCAGGGTGGCCACTGCCAGCTGTGGGCTGTCCTTGGTGCTGCTCCCGCGGAGCCACGCCCCTGTGCCGGGGCTGAGAGCCACGCCTGCTGCTGGGCCGACTTAGAGCCCCGGGCACAGAGGGGACAGCTTTAGGGTGCATGCTTTGGCTGTGCTGGGGTTTGGAGCCATGCCCAGGAACGCTGCCCCAGATGGGGAAGGGGCACCCCCTGAGTTCCCTGTCTGGTCTGTGGCCTCATTTCCCAGCTCCTGCCCGGAGGGCTAGGGCCGGGGCACACACACCCCCGCCCCGGAGAAGGAAATGAGCCCAACGCTTGGCTCAGGGAACACCCAGCCGCTATCTGGGCCACTCCTCTCCGATGCAGACAGTGGATTCCTGGAAGGAGCTTCCTGGCATCGTGGGAGACCTCCCACCCCCTCTGCCCTTAGCCAGGCGAGCAAGCCCACTCCTGGCCGGACAGCCCCCAGTGCCAGAGGCGGTCTCCGGGCACCCTGCTTCATGGGCTGGGGGCCTTTGCCCCCCCGCAGCCGGGCACACAGTGCCAGCACTCTCCATGTACCCTGCTGGCTCCAGTGAGCCTCACAGGTCTGTCTGTGGCCCGTCTCCCTTCTGAAGAGCCTGGGCGGGCTTTGCAGGCCCTCCTGGCCACAGAATGATTCTGGAGTGGGGCCTCCCTGCTCTGCCACCTGGGTCAGCAGGACAGACTGGCCAAGCACAGAGCAGGCTGGAGCCTCATCACCTGACCTGGGGGCCCACTGGGCACCTTCGCCCCTAGGTGACTTGTCAGACTGAGATCAGATGTGTCTCCGCCTGCAGGAGCCCCGGCTGACCTCACGGTGGGGATAATCGTGGGCCGCCTTCTCCAGCCTCCCGACAGTGGTGAAGCAGGGAAACTGAGGCCCAGAAAAGTTGAGGAATGAGAAGAAGCAGCATATGTGGGCCCTCACGTGTGCCACACATCCCTCGAGCCAGGACGGGGTGTCGGGGTGCATAGTGAGGGCCCCGCGCTGGCCCTAGGGAAGGCTGCCTCTTACCTAGAGTGTGTGTGCATGACGCTCCAAGTCACAGCCGCGGTGCCCAGAGCCAAACCCAGCCCTGACCCCAGGAGCCGGGCAGCACATGGGAGCAAGGCGCCCCAGGAAGCGGGCAGCGGGGCACGTGCAGTGGGCAGGAGTCCCGCCTGGGTGGCTGCCTGGAAAGGCTGAAGCCGGCCAGCCCCAGTGACCAGAAGGGTCACCTGGCCTGTCGCTCGGGCCCGGGCCGTCCTGAGTGGCAGCTGCATGCCCCACAGCTGCTGGGCTCCACTCTGCCTCTGCTGACCCCCCCACCCCTCCTCCCATTCGGCACCCCTCTGAAGCCCTTTGTGGCCCTCCGTGGTCTGGGGCCAGGCCCACCTGCACCCCCACAGCTGTCCTGGTTTCTTTCCCATCAGTCATGTGGGGCCTGTGGTCAGCACCCCAGGACTCCCCCGCCGCCTTCCCGACGGTCCAGGGTCTCGGGCTTGGGTCCCTCCTGCTGTTTTCTGTGCTGTTTGGGGGGGGCAGCCTCCCCTTCTCACTGAACCGACCCCGCACGGTCCACCCTCCCCTGCCGGTCCCATGGCACCCCCAGCCGCCCTTTGTCTACCCCCAGCGCTCTGGGTGTGTGGGGGCTGCTCTGGGGCGCCTGGGGTCAGGGCTTGGCCGGGAAAGCCCCCGTTGCTCACTGCGGTGCAGGCTCCCTCTGGGCCGTGTCACCGCGCCCCTGGGCACCACTGCTGGCCTCCAGGGGTGCTGACAACCCTGTTCTCTGTGGTGACTTTGCACAGACAATCGGGCTGTGAGGTCTGCCCACCCTGTCTTCGGAGTCCACACACCTCCACTGGGCTCTGTCCTTCTGCATCTGCCAGCATCCTTCCCTCGACCCTCTCCCCAGCCCGGAGTCGGCTCCAGTCCCGTGTAGCCTGCTGCTCACGCCCACCCTTCCTCTGTTTCCGAAGTTACTTTGGCCAGGAGGCTCTGGGGCTGCCCAGGACTGCCAAGGTCGGAGTTTAGAATTCCCTCCTTTGCAACTGCAGTGTGAATGGTCCTGGGGCTCCATGCGTGACTGTGCTCAGTACAAGGGTGCTGTGTTTCTTTCGGTTTCCACCACAGTCTCCATGCAATCACCCCATCTGGGGGGGGCCGTGTCCAGCCGGGGCCATGTCCTCTGATGGCAGTGGTCACCCAGCGGCGGCTCGAGAGGAGGGGCCTCCCCAGCTCACACAGCCCTTTGTGGCCGTGGGAGCGTCTGCCCTGGGCAGCTGACCCTGCATACCCACCTGGAGCCCCTGAGCTCTCCCTCCTGCCCCAGTGCCCTCCGAGCGGAGGGCAGCTGTGGTTGGGGTTGAACGAGTGAATGGGGCAGACAGTAGATGAGGTAAAGCACCGCATAGGTGGGTGGACTGCAGGTCTCCCCACCGACAGGCGGGGCGTGGGTCACCAGTGTCTCCACCCTGAGAGCAGGCCCCTTGCTGTGTGTCGCCCAGGACCCAGACTCAGCCGGACCCCACAGCACCCAGGGCTGGCCAGGAACCTTTCCACTGCCTCTGAGAAGCTGCCCCCCTCCCCTGCTCACCTCCCTGCTCCTTTTGTCCGCGTGCCCGGCACTCAGACCAGGGCTGGGGATGGACGCGGGCAGATGAGCTGGTCCCGAGCAGGTCCCTCTCCCAGTGAGCCAGACGGGGGAGGTCAGCAGGCTCTGTGGCTGCAGGGGTGGGGGGTGGGGCTGTCAGAGAAACAAGATCAGGAATGTTGGGGAGAGTCTGGAGCTCACAGGCCTGGGGCCCCTCAAAGCTGAGGGGGGGGCAGTGCTGCATCCCAGGACAGACAGCCAGGCTGGTGCCCCCCAGGGACCAGGGCCGAGGGGGCACTGTGGCCAAAGGAGCCGTCCAGAACAGCATGGAGACCCGTGTCCTTGGGGGTCCAAAGAGAATGGGGGGGCCCTGGCAGGTCAGAGGTCAGCGGAGGACGACAGCAGGGTGCTGGGGATGAGGGCCGGTAGAGGAGGGCAGGAGCGGGGCGGATGTTGGCCAGCATGGGAGACAAGGCATGCAGAATGTGCTCCACCAGGGAGCCTCGCGGAGCCGCGTATGTGTGGAGAGGGCCTGGCAGGGGGATGGCCGCAGCTCTGGGGGAGCGGGGGTGGGCGCCCCAGGGGCATCCCTGAGCCCCTTGCGCTGCCCCCAATGCACACTCGCAGCCCACCGCGCCCCACCCGGTTGGCTCCAAGGAGGTGGAAGCCCCTGACCGGCGAATGGAGACCCTCTGAGCCAGCTGAGCCCACCCGTCATCGTCCCGAGGCCTGCGCCGGCAGGTGCCAGACCACACTTGGGGACCGAAGGCCTGGCCTTCACAGGGCCCAGCTGCCTGCTCTGGGCTGCTGCCGGAGCAGGTCCCTCAGCCCGGGACGGCCCCCAGGAGACGCGCTGTGGGAGATTCAGGGGCTCCGCAGAGGGCGGCACGGGGGAGAGGGGCAGGAAGATGGCTCTCACAGGCTCTCTGTCCCCCAGGTTTTGGGCCCCAGTGGGGCATCAGAGCTGGCTCTCAGGGCCCACAGCCTCGAGGTGCCAAGGAGGGTGGCTGAGGCCACGCTCTCTAGGTGCCGGGTGGGGACCGGGGAGACGGTCTGCACTGTGGCCCACGGCCACCGCTCACACTCCGGCAACAGGCCATGTGTGTATCTCCCTGCTGGGCCTGGGCCCCGCTGGACTCCTGCAGGGACAGGAAGGATCAGAGCTGGCCAGGCTCCTGAGTGGGCCAGCCTTGGCCGTGGTCCTCTTCCTCTGTCCAGGAGTGAGAGAACCCCGTTTCTTAGATCCCTGCCTCCGGGGAGGCAGCTGGCTGGGGCGTCCATGAGGTTCGGGCAGGAGTGGTGGGAGTGGCTTCAGGGTCCGTGGTGGGTCCAGAGCTGGGCCGGACCCGAGGCTCCACTGCAGAGGGAGGACCTGGAGGCAGGCAGAGCCCCTGAGGGGCCACACCAAGCCCTGCCTCTGTGCCCAGCTCCCGCCTGACTTGGCCTGTCCCCAGGGGCACAAAGGTAGGGGGAGGCCAGCTCCAGGGAGCTGTGGGGCAGACAGCGAACCTGAGGTCTGGGACAGTCCTCGCTCACTCTCCCAGGGCACAGAGCATGGAACCTCCAGAACCTGCCCCCCTAGGACAGGGAGGCTGAGAGCCGCCCAAGAGGCAAAGGTGGCCAGGCTGGGCCGGACATTCGCACCGTCCCTCACTGGGGCCCTGGACAAGCTCCTCCCTCCACGTGGTTTTCCAAACGGGGCTGGAGCTGCACCCCCCAGCCCGACGGCCCCCTGGCCCGGCCCTCCTTGGGCCTGCAGCTGGCAGCTGGCAATTGGGCTAAAGCCTAAGGAGGGCAGTGGGGTGTTCCTGCCCCCACCTCGCCACCTGCCCGCATGCCACCCGGGTGGGGGGACAGACCAGGGTCTCTCTGGGACAGTCACCCTGGACCTCGGCAGAGCTGCTGGGAGGTGCACCCTGCAGGTCAGCAGGCCCTGGGCTCGGCATCCTGGGGCAGGCTCGTGCCCCTGTGAGTGGACTGTGGTCTGAGGCCTGGGCCCTTCAGCTGGCCGGGGTCATCTGATGCCCACTGGCCCGCGATGGCCTGTGCCTGTTCCTGGTGCCCGTGTTTACCCCAAACAGAGGTGGGGGTGTGCTCAACAGTGCTTCTGGTCTGTGTGTGTGTCCTTGGGCCAGCTGACCTTGGCACTGGGCGCTGGGAGAGCAGGGCCGGGGGCGGGGGTCTGCCTCTGAGGCTGAGCCCACTGCCTCCCCTCCACCCCGTCTGCCCCACTCCATCAGCGTCTGCTGTCTTTCCCTTCCCTCCGGCAGCCCCTCTGGGGTCCCTTCCCCAAGCCTCCTCTCCGTGGCAGCCCAGCCCGCTCACCTCCCACTACCATCTCCGTCCTGAGCCCCCGAGGCCTGGTGCTGCCTGTCCACCCTTGCTCGTGGGGCGGCCCCCTAGGCTCCCAGGCCCCCAGCGCCCCCTTTGTCCTTCCCGTCTGCTCCCCACAGGGCAGCCCATCCGTTTCCACCATCGTTCCCTCAGAGGCTGCGGTCAGTTCCCACAGCCAACGACCTGGGAGTCCCAGGGCAGCTCGGCCCCCACTGGCCACGGGGAAGCCCAGGGACATGGCACCGTCGTGCAGCAGGGCCATGGGGTGCACACCTGGACTGCGGTGGCCCCGGGAGTCTGTCAGAGACATCCTCCACGCCGTGTCGGAGGTGGTGGGAGCAGCCCCACACGGACCTTCCACATGCACCCCGGACACTCAGTGCTCGGCCGTCTGGGGCCCTCCGTGGACCCGGCTTCTGGCAGGAACATCCTGGGCAGCTGGTAGAGCTCACGGGGCTGAGCCCGGGGTGAAGGGGTGTTGTGGAAGTCAGGGAGATGCGTTAGGGGAGGGCCCCACTACTTAATTTACCGATGCATGATGTGAGGTCCAGGAGGGAAAGCCCTTGGCCTGGCGTCTCTGGTGTCCGCCCCTCGCTGTCCCCGGGCGCCCTGCCACCCCCTGCCTGGGCTGTTTGGGTGGAGGAGCCAGGAGATATAAATCTCATCCAGATGCTCTGTGAGGAACAGGTGCTCCCGGTGAGGAGGAGGGGGGAGGAGGCCACCGTCATTCAGCCCTGCCTGGGGTGGGCAAGACTGAGGCCGCTAAGAGCCAGCCGCCCAGCGCCCCCCTCTTCGAGGCAGGAGGACAGTGGGGTGTGGTAGGGAGTGGGCCTTGTCCGTGGAGAGGCCCTGTGGATAAGCCAGTGTTTCTGCGGGAGCTTAGGGCAGGAAGGAGGGGCTGGGCTGGGCCCAGAGCACCGGGCACCAGCCAGCATGCTTCCCCACCCGGGGGCAGCCCCGAGGGTCCGGTGCCACACACCCTGGGGGCCCACAGTGCCCTCTGCTCATGGGAACAGCAGAATGGGCATCCCTCCTGGGGCTGGCTCTCCTTGGGCTCCCCTCAACCCCCTCAGCCAGCCCCAGCCCACCATCAGCAGCAGTTCCAAAAAGAAAGGACCCTGTCACCCAGGTATCCCCCAGGACAGGGCTAGACTCAGAACCGTGTTTTCCTTTTTATTCTTAGATGGGAGGCACAGGCCCAAAGGGAGCAGTCCCTGCTCAGGGGGCGAGGGGCGCTGGTCCCACTGGCCAGTGACTACACCTGTCCCTCCCCCCGCCCCAGATGACAGTGTTGCCTAGCCCCACCCCCGCCACCACGGAGCTTGGGTTGTGGGGGCCTGGGTTTGTGCTTCTAGGAGAAGTTGGCCCCCTCATTCTTTCATCAGAGGACGGACCTCCAGAGGGGCTCATAGGCGGGGCCTCTGCCAAGCCAGCCTCCGTGGGGCGTCGGCCTGTGCCCACGAGAGATGGTCCAGGGCCGGGTGCAGGTGTGGGGAGGGTGGGACCAGCCAGGGCCAGGCCCCCTCCAAGCCAGTCCGCTGGTCAGGGCCCTGCACCTCATCCATGGCCTGGGTCACTAGCCCGGAGCACCCCAGGCACGCCTCAGAGCCAACCGCGGCACCAGAGGCCCCAAGTCCAAGCGTGGACAGCATCTTGTGCACCCTGGGGGACAGAACCACCGCCCTAAGCCACCTGTGTTTGGAGCTGGTCCACAGTGAGGCTGCACAGGCCCTCCCAGGGCAGGTCCAAGCCCTGCAGCTCCTGCACACTCAGCGGGCTTCTGTTCCTAGGGGGGCAACAACGCTGGCCACACCGTGGTGGTGGACGGCAGGGAGTATGACTTCCACCTACTGCCCAGCGGCATCATCAACACCAAGGCCGTGTCCTTCATCGGTGAGTGCCAGCAGCCGGGGGTCCCGCATGTGTCATCCAGCCCAGGGCCCCCCTGCAGGTGGGCCTGGACCCGGCAGGAGAGCCAGGCTGGCCCACGGGCCTGGTCTGGGAGCCTGTCCTGGGAGCCGCCAGCCTGGGCGGGAGGGAGAGAGGGCGGGGAGCCCCGCGGAGCGGTGTGTGCAAGCCTGTTTGCGTGTGAGGGAGTGAACGTGTGTGGGCATGAGTACGTGCAGGTGTGCGTGTGCGTGTGTGTGTGCGTGTGCGCACACGGGCAGGGGCCGGACTCCGCTGCATGGGTGGAAGCCCAGCCTGCGGGCTCCCCGGCCTCCCCCTTCCCACAGCACGCCCTGCCCTTCCGGGGACGCCCGGCCTCTAGGACTGTGGGTCTCTTGCTCTCTCTGTCTCTCTCGCTGTGTCTGCCTCTCTCTCTCTCTCTGCCCCTCCCTCCCTCCTGGCCTCCAGGCCTGACCTCCTGTCCTGCCCTCGGCTCAGCCTGAGCCTCCCTGCCCAGAGCCGCCCCGCCCCGCCCCAGCCAGGCGGCCTGACGCCCTCCCGCGGCGTGCAGGACTATTCGTGGGGCTCCTTGCACGACTCAGCAAGACCACCCTCGTGGCTTATCTGCCCCCGCCCCTCCCTGGTTGCGAAGCGTGGGTGTGCCCAGTGAGGGCACAGGGCTGGGCGACGGGAGGCAAGTGTCGCTGAGGGGCCGTGTGCGGTCGGACTGTGCAGGAGGACACACCGGGGCCGCTGCAGTGGGCGAGGACAGCACGGTGACCTCCCGCGGTTCACCCGGGGTGGGGGCCCGGGGTGGGGCTCTGCTGCAGCCTTCTCCAGGCCCAGCCTCGTCCGCTGGGCCCTGGGCCCCACCTGGTGGGAAACGAGGCCAGGGAGGCCCGCTTGATGAGAGGTCTCCGCCCGGCATCTGAGGAGCCGGGGTGGGTCAGGGCCAGCAGCTGGAGCCCAGGCTGGGTGGTCCCCGGGGAGCATCGTGGGAGTCAGCTCGGCCAGGCCGGCCGGCAGCGTGCTCAGCCGGGGGCGAACGTGCCAGAACTCACACAGCTGCCCCTTGGCTCGCGACATTCCCGGGGACCCTGCCACGTGGTCATTTCAGGACGCCCTGGCATTTAGGTGACCTTTTGTACTCGGTGTGGCTTGCACAGTCTGAGCCACTCCCATCTGGACCCATGTCCTGTCTCCCTCGGCCGAGCTTGTGCCACCGGCAGCCCTGGGGGGGACCGGGGCCAGGGGGGCTCCTCCTGGGAAGACAGCAGGTGGCCTGGCCCAGCCGCCTTCGGTCTAAGAGAAAAGGGCTCGCATTTCGCTTCAGCCTGGACCCCACACTAACATGCTGTGTGACCTGGGGCGGGTCACCTTCCTTCTCTGGGCCTCAGCCTCAGTGTTGTATGGATAGGGAGGGCCCGGGTCCCCAGAGGCCCTGCCCGGGGCCGGGGAAGGGTCGGGGGCTGCGTGTCTCCCGCTTTCCCATTTTCACGCCATTCACATAGACTGTACCAGCTTAACTGCGGTATAATTTATGTGCCATGACATTCAACACAATTCAGCTCTGGAGCACCGTCCTCACTCCAAGAAGTCCCCTCTGCCATTTGCCGGCAGCCCTGCCACCGCGGCCTCCGCGAGCTCTCCTCTGCTCGCGGGCTCTGCACACGCTCCCCATGGCTTTGGTTTGGTTTTGGGCCATTTCTTCCACTGTCGTGAGTATGCACAACAGAAATTTTCCATCTTTGCCATTTCTAGGCATAGAGCCCGGTGGCATGAAGCACATTCACGCTGTTGCACACCCACCCCCACTGTCCGTCTCCAGAACTTTCCATCTCCCCAACCTGAAACTCTGTCCCCCTTGAACACTAACCCCGGCCCCCTCCCCAGCCCCTGGCGCCCCCCTCTACTTCCTGTCCCTGTGAATCTGACTCCTCCAGGGACCTCCTATGAGTGGAATCACACAGGGTGTTTGTCCTTTGGTGACCTGCCTGTGTCACTCGGCATAGTGTCCTCAAGGTCCGCCCATGTTGTAGCAGGTGTCAGAATTCCCTTCAACGTAAGTCGCCGTGTCCGCTGCACGACTCAGTCCCCTGTGATGTGTTGCAGGCAATGGGGTGGTCGTCCACTTACCCGGCTTGTTTGAAGAAGCAGAAAAGAATGAGAAGAAAGGTAGGTCCGAGTGCCCGCACGCGCACCCTGGCCCAGGCAAGTTCCTAGCAGCGTGGTGGCCAGGGCCTCCCGTGTGGGTTCTTGGGAGGGGTCAGTTTCCCCAGCCCAGCAGTCCCCCACCCACCTCCTGCCCGCTCTGCCTGTGCAGAAAGCTGGGTCTGCACTCGGGATGCGGAGAGCAGGGCAGCCCAAGGCCCCAAAGTCTGGCTGTGGGCCTCAGTGTTTATGGGGAGCTTTCACGACACTGGGGACAGGTGGCATCTGGAGGGTCCCACTCAGGAAGTCTGGAAGGGGCCCTGGGACCTGGAATTTGATGAAGCTCCCCAGGACACCTGGATGTCTGGCCGAGAATGGGGACCACTGGGCCGACCCCACCTACAGGGAAGGATGTGGTTCCTAGGGGCTCCTGGGGGCTCCTGGGGGCAGGCAGCAATGGAGGCCACCGGCCAGGGTGTCTGGGCCAGCTGCCCCCCTGGAAAGGTTGTCTAGAGGTGGCAGCCCCAAGACCCTGATGGGGTCCGAGAAGGAAGCGGGCCTCAGCCTCAGGGCTCGAGTTCAGGACAGGAGTGAGAAGAGCCAACAGGAAACTGACCCTGGGCATGAAGCGCCAGGACAGAGGCCCCGCAGGGAGAGGTGGGGGGTGAGATTCCAGGGCCCTCAGCAGGGAGAGAGGCCACGAGGGGAGGGCACACCCCATGTGACCTTTGTGGACTCTTGCCCTGGGTGGGGGCTGGGCCAGCTGCCCAGCCTTGGCCACCTTGCCCGTGACGGCTGACCGCCTGCCGCGTGACTTCAGGTCTGAAGGACTGGGAGAAGAGGCTTGTCATCTCCGACCGCGCCCACCTCGGTAAGCACACCCGGGCTGGGTGCGGGGCCGGTGCCACCCACCTGCCATGGGAACCACCACCCCACAGTGGCCCTCCTCCCCGGCATGCTGAGCCCACGTAGCTCCATGAAATTCCAAGTGGGCAGTGGGTCGGAATCACAGTCCCCAGTTGCAGATGGGAAAACGGAGGCCCGAAGGGACTCCCGGGCACGTCTGAGTCTGTGCTGGGCAGAGGCAGAGTCCAGTGTGTCCCCTTTCAAACTGGACCACCTGTCCCGGGCAGCCCGGGCGTGCACAGGGGAGCCCCATAACCCTGTGTCTGTCTCTCGCTTGGGGACACTCACCTGGCCGCGCAGTGTTTGATTTTCACCAGGCGGTCGACGGGCTGCAGGAAGTGCAACGGCAGGCCCAGGAGGGCAAGAAGTGAGTATATCCAGGGGCTTCTCTTGTCTCGCTGGCCTTTGAGTCTGGGAGCTCTGGGGTGTGCCAAGAGGGGAACGGGGTCCCCTTGAAGCCGCCACGACCACGGGCAGCCCAGCCCAGCCTGACCACATACATGGGCCACCCAAACCCTTGCCCCACTAAGCACCCACGGCCATTCCCTTGTCCTCCAAAGATATTTATGAAAATGTGCCGAGCACTGGTTCTCCAAGCGAGGACAGGGTGCAACCGTGGCCATCCTGCCCCATTAAGTGACACGCTCACTTGCCACCCACATGTGTGCATGCACTCACACGTGTGTGCACACTCAGACTCTGCACACACACTCACACACAAGTATGCCAGGCGGCAATGCTGAGCAGGCCATTCACCGAGCCTGGGGCTAGGGCAGTGGCAGGCAGTGGGCACAGGGTGGGCATGGCCGGTGCGCCCAGCCCCCAGGAGGCAGCAGCCGGCAGACGTGGACAGGCGCATCCTCAGTGCCCGGCCAGAGGGAAGCTGGGGCCCAGTGCAGACAGGATGTCTCAGAGCCAAGGCATGGAATGACGGCAGGGTTTCAGCTGGCCCAGAACTGCCGGCGGGGGCCCAAGCCCCCGGATCCCTGACAGCCAGCCAGCGGAGGGGACCCGTGGGCTCTCATAGCCATCCCAGACTGCAGGTGCTACTGCTGGGGAGGGCCCCTCCCAGCTCAACCCTTGCTTGTTTGTTTGTTTTTGTTTTTTTAAGATTTTATTTTTTATTTATTTGAGAGAGAGAGAGCACAAGTGGGGGTAGGGTCAGAGAGAGGAGCAGACTCCCCGCCGAGCAGGGAGCCCGATGCGGGGCTCGATCCCGGGACCCCGGGACCACGACCCGAGCCGAAGGCAGACGCTCAACCGACTGAGCCCCCCAGGCGCCCAACCCTTGTTTGTAACAGGGGCGCACGCAGGCGTCTGCGGGTGCTGAGCGCCCCGGCCCCTCACAGGCCCCCGGGCCTGGCCCCCGGCTCACAGCCGCCCCCTGTCTTTCAGTATCGGCACCACCAGGAAGGGGATCGGACCGGCTTACTCTTCCAAAGCTGCGCGCACGGGCCTCCGCGTCTGCGACCTCCTGTCGGACTTTGATGAATTTTCCGCCAGGTACCTGAGCCGCCCGAGGGGGGGCTGTGGCTAGTGCTGAGGGCGCGGACCCCCAGGCGGGGCGAGGGGTCGCAGTCACTGTCGCCCCCGCAGATTCAAGA